TAATCACCCCCATAATACTCCCCATTTAAGGAGTTTAGACTGTAGCTCATATCAGTATATAGCCCCTATGGAATCCCCATATAAGGACTCGTGTCCCTTACACGGGCTCCCAAAGCATGAGGGCCAAACCTGAGGATCCAACCCAGGCCCCCTGGATTAAACGTTAGAATTTGTTTAGGGCTTCCCAACATTTGGGGAGCGCTTTAAAGGGGGATATAGAGGCTCTATAGGGTTTCTATAGGATTTCAGGTTTTTAGGGTTTTAGGTGCGCCTTCCCAAGCCTGCATGGAACCTCACATAGGCTCGTTTCAGGGCCGCCGTCTGCATTTCGGGTTCCCTGGTGGCTTGGAGCAGTGTTTAGGGTTTAGGGTTTGCCGTGGGCTCCTCTTTGGGGTGTAGGGTTTTGGTTTAGGGTTTTGGGGCTTGGCAAGCGAGGCGAACCCGGCTTGCAATGGCTATGTTGCAGTTGACGGCAAACAGGGTTTAAGGTTTAGATCCATAAACTCGGGCCCCCATTTAGACTCCAATATGGTATAACAACCCTCCCTATGGGAACCTCTAATCCTTGGCAACCATAATCCCTATAATCCCAGTTTCATTTCATCTCCAGTACTATTGTAATCTCCCTAAACCCTAAAATAATAGCTTCCCTGTTCTTTTCCATTACGCCTAACTAACCCGAATAAAAACCTAAGTCACCCGAAATAACTCCCGCAAATCCCCAAACCCTAAACCCTAAACCCTGCACAACCCCATGGTGCGCCTACTGCTTCCGGAGAATCCATGTTGTTGAGGCCCTCCAACTCGGCCTGCATTGGCAGTTCTTAGAATCCAGGATCAGGGCTTAGGGTTTAGGGCTAAGGGTTTCGGGCTAAGGGTTTAGGGTTCAGTGTTTTAGGGTTCAGGGTTTAGGGCTTAAGGCTTAGGGCCCCATGATGCTAAACTTCCAATGTTCCCCAGATCCCTGCATCGTTGCCCCAGCACAAGAACTCTGAACACACCCTCCATTGAGTCTACTGCTTAGGGTTTAAGGTTAAGGGTTTTGGGTAGAGCCTTCATCTGTCTGACGTCCTCGTCCTCGTCCTCCTCTGCCATCTCGTTGGGCATTGGGTACATCTGAGATGCCCTTGGCAGAGCAGTTTAGGTTTGGGGGTTTAGGTTTTCGGGTCAGCTGCCCTAAATTGAACCGGTCTACTTGGATTGGGCTCGAATGCAATATTCAGTCAATAGGTAATTTCTCCCAACAATACCTAGATGATCCCTAGTACGGACCGCTAGAAGTCCCTCACAATCCCTACATATCCTTACACTTCCGAATGGCCCCCATCTTGGGAAACTCCTGACCTGAATCTAAACCCTAAGCCCAAAATCCCCACGGGGTTTAAGGTCTAGGGATAAGGGATTGAGGTTTAGGGTTGAGGGCTGAGGGTTTAGGGTGTAGGGTTTCGGGATACGGGATCTAGAGATTCAAGACTAAGGTTTACCGTGTAGGCTACATGGCCCGGCAGAGCCCTGGATCCCGAAAATTGCTGAGCATAAGCCTAAACCCAAAACCTTAAGCCCGAATCCCAAAACCCTAAACCTTATTCTTGAACCCTCAACCCTGATCCTTTTTCCCTGGCCTTGAAAACCTAAACCGTCCCTTATCCCTTAACCTTAAACCCTAGATCCCTTATAGTCCCCCTTAAGTAGATAGAATATGGGGTATATTATTATAATATACCCAAAACCATATTCTATCGACTTAAGGGGGGATTATGTCCCTAAACCCCAAACCCTGCATCTCTGAGGCTTGGACGATGAAGCTGTACTGTCCGTAGACGTCTGTCGCTTCCAATCGGAGTACATGCCCTGCAGCTCTAGCGCCTGGGCGGCAATTCAGAGTTGAGGTTGTAGGGTTTGGGGTTTGGGGTGTACGGTTTAGGGCTTAGGGTCTACGGTTTAGGGTTTAGGGTGTACGGTTAGGGTTTAGGGTGTACGGTTTAGGGTTTAGGGTTTAGGGTGTAAAGTTTTCACCGTTTGGGGGTTTAAGGTTTGATGGTTGAGATTTTGAGGCCGCAGCAAGTCTTGGAGGTCAAATGGGTTATCACGGGATATATGTATGTATATCAGGAGACATGAACTATGTAGGGGTATATAGATGATGTAGGGATGCGTGGGTTATGTCCGGATACATAGGTATACAATGATATGTCTAGGAGTGTACTAGAATGCAAGTCTTGGAGGTCAAATGAGGGTTTCTAGGGAGCAGGGCTGTATAGGAATCACAAAAAGAGTACAGGCATCCCTCTTGTTCATTCTACTGTTCGATAGGGTTGTCTTGGGCCTATGGTTGTGCAGAAAGCCAGTACAGAACCTGACTACCCCAAACCCTAAAGCCCTGAATCCTAAAGACAAAACTCAGAACCCAAAAAGATTGCAGTGTCACTCAAGGTGGAAGGGCCGAATGTTTAGGACTTGTTCTTAGGAGGCGCCTAGAAGCCCGAAAAATCTGAAGCGCATACTGAGGGCCTATATCTCCAACCTTTTAACTGGAGCTTAGGGCGAAAAGCGGATTTGGGTGTAGGGGTCAGGACATCGTCAAGTAAATGGAAGATGACACCGCAGAAGAGAGTTTCAGCCCAAGAGGACGGTGACCCCCACACAACGTGTATACCAGGTTAAGGGTTCAGGTTAGGGTTTAGGGTTTAGGAAGCTCAGTTCAAACTTTCTTGTCCTTTTGAATGTTCAATGATTCTCAACTATGAAAATTGCATCGTTATCGCTACTATCACCCTAGCTTGCATCAGGATCATCATGTACCATTACTAGAAAATTGAAATGCCTATTACTGTTACTATTGCTAAAACGGATAAAAAATACAAATACTATTCCTAGCACTATCACTATTGATGTTACTGCTACCGTTGCCATTGCTATTACTCTCACTACTACCCTTATTATTGGTGCTACGATTACGCTTGCTGTTACCATTACCATTACAACTACGATCGACATTTCTATTTCTATTCTTATTGCTGCTATTAGTATGTTATTGATCCTACTACCACCGCCACCACCACTACCACCACTACCACCACGACCACCACCACCACCACCACCACCACCACCACCACCACCACCACAACCGCAACGACTACTACTACTCCTACTACTCGTACCACTCCTACTCCTACTCCTACTCCTACTCCTACTCCTACTCCTCCTACTACTACTACTGCTGCTACTACTACTCCTACTACTACTCCTCTTACTACTACTACCACCACTACTATTGTAGTTACAAGTGTTCTTACCGAAAGTAATCTTTATACTACTTTGCTTTGAGGAAGTACTCAGATGGCCTGGGCTAGAGGTATACATACATACATACATACATACATACATCCATGCATGCATGCATGCATACATACATGCATACATACATGCATACATGCATTCATGCATTCATGCATACATGGTCATACATGAATACATGCATACATGCGTACATACATACTTATTCAAAATTTCACTTTCTAATATCCCAGGGTAACCCTATCAAACAGTCTATAACCGGTATATTATCTGACCCCTAGATGTCTCCATGTGACATTGTTATACACCCTGAATCCTGACTTGACAATCCCGATAGAAGACGGGGCCTGATTGCTGTCCAGCATGAACTCCACTTGGCCTGGAGCTCCGGATTCTTCAGGGCTTAAAAAAAAAAAAGGAATCGGATTAAGGGTTTTGGGGCTGAGGGTTTTTCGGGTTGATGGGTTTGGAGTTTAGGGTTTTCGGGTTGAGGGCTTTGGGCTTTAGGGTATGGAGTTTAGGTTTGGAGTTTAGGGTTTTGGGGTTGAAGGTTTAGGGTTTGGGGTTGAGGGTTAGGGGTTTGGGCTTTAGGGTTTGGAGTTTGGCGTTGAGAGTCGGATTTAGGAGTGCAGGGTCCTAGTCGTCGTTGTCGTAATCGTGGTCATAATATGTATAGTAGTAGAACAGTACAGTGATACACTAGTATAGTAGCATGATTGTGTGGTCGTATTGTAGTAGTAGCAGTAGTAGTAGTAGTAGTAGTAGTAGTAGGAGTCGTCGTCGTCGTCGTCCTCGCCGCCGGCGGCGTCGTCGTCGTCGTCGTCGTAGCTGTAGTAGCAGCAGCAGTAATCGCAGTAGCAGCAGCAGTAGCAGCAGCAGTAGTAGTAGCAGTAGTTGTAATAGTCGTAGTCGTCGTCGCCGCCGCCGCCGCCGGCGTCGTCGTCGTCGTCGTCGTCGTCGTCCTCGTCAGGTGTTGTAGTCGTAGTAGTAGCAGCAGTGAAGTAGTAGGAGCAGCAGAAAAAAGACGTATGTGAGGTTTATGGCTTACACATCAGTTTTAGGTGGCTTCAGGGCCTGAGGGTTCGGTAGGACGTGGGGTAGGAGGAGAAAAAGGCGATACTCAGGGGGGCTCATAAGGTGGGATAAAGCTAGGTGGGCTAAAGGGTCCCTATTGTAGATTCTACTATACTGGGGCTTACTTCCTTTACTCCACCTACCTTCAGCCCACCATTTGAGCCCCCTGACATACCAGACAAGGTACTGCAACTAGCGACTGCAACACAATCTACAGCGACTACAACAGCATAAAATCTGAAGCCGTACCACGTGAAACAAAATAGGGTTTAGGGTGTAGGGTAAAATGAAGTGGTAAATGCAAGAAGTGATCAGCCACGCCAAGAGAATCGTCGTCTGAAGGACTCAGGAGCGATATGCATCCTAAGAACCAAGCGATCTTGCTGCCAATTGGGTCCCATGCCTCCTGTCATGATTATTAGAACCATGCTAGTGATGACTCCCACCTAACCAAAAACTCCCGCATAATTGAGAATCGAATGGAACAGACAACTGACAATGAAATGGAATCTGGGGTTATATAATCCCCATAAAAGCATCGATATAACCCCACTATATATATATATATAATCCCTATATGCACCCTGCAACACCCCCCTATACACCCTACATACCCTTATATAACCCTGGTTTAGGAAAAATGGGCAGCTTTTCCTGGGAAGCTCTATTTAGGCGTTTCCCAACATCAGGGTTGCGCATATGGTCTCTTGGGGTCTGTCATGGGGTCCCACCATTTATGGAACCTACCAAATGTTGCCGAAGAGTAGACCCTAATTCCTAAACCCTAAACCCTAAACCCTAATTCCTAAACCCTAAACCCCAATTCCTAAACCCTAAACCCTAAACCCAGTAGAAGTGCAGGTCTTGAGGTACAAGAGGCTTTAGGATGCATGGGAATATACGGAGATTCTGGATTCTGTAGGAGCATGTAGAGACATTCCGGTATTTCAAAATCGGAAACTAGTTGGTTGTTTGAAGAAGCAAGGGGTTTTGGAGGGGATAAACAGGGACCGCAATTTTTACTATATACCATATGGTGGTTTCCCAAAGTAAGGGGGCCCCAATATAGACCCCCAAATACAATAATGCTTTTTATAGGGACCCCCAAAAAGGTACCCAAAATTTTGGGAAACCCCCATATTGTGACTTACGTATACCTGTTTGGTCGCGTCTAAGCCAGGGCTAGACCGGCCTTCCTGCGGGAGTTCTTCGGAGCCAGCGGCGTCCTGCTCAGGGTTTAGGGCTTGAGGTTTAGGGTTAGGGTTTAGGGTTTAGGGTTTAGGGTCTAGGGTTTAAGGGTTTAGGGTTTAGAAATTTTGAATTTTGGCTGCAGCTCAACTTTACCTTAAGGTTCGTAAAGAACGCTATCATGGCATTTGATGCCTGCCTGCATACACCATGAAAACAACAGGTATGCAAAAACCCCCCACCCACACCCTGAAATTTCAAGGTATCCTCAAAACATGAGGTCTGGAAGAATATTGAATATTAAGGGTGGGAAGTTTTTAGCAGAAGTACAAAGGGATAACCAGGTTGCGGAACCCTAAACCCTAAACCCTAAACCCCAAACCCTTAACCCGAGACCTCCTGTCCAGGTGTGCTTCCAGCACATACTGTACCCGCATGTCCCTGCATCATGTCTCAAGGTTGGGTACTCCCCCCACCCTGTAACAGTCTATACTAGGGGTCATATGAAGGGTTATACATATAATATATATTTCTATATATAGCTATATTATAAGTATTATCCAGCTGTTATAGAGTGGGGGCAGTACCCAAGGTTTAGGGTGTAGGGCGTAGGGGTATCAATCGGGTCCCCAATAATGTTCACCGTTAAACTGAGGCTGGGATTCTTGATAGAGGCCAGCGTTTCCGTTGCTGCCGCCGTATCCTCCGCAATACTTGCGGATCACAACTTTGATGGTGCGACTTCTTTGCTGCTGTAGCGGTACGGAAATTGCCTCCGGTCCTACCCAACACCCTCGAAACCCTGAACCCTAAAACACTAAACCAAAACGCTTGACGATCTTTGCGGTCACCAGCCGTACCCGAGTCCTGGATCGCGGCAGCCGCTGCTTGTTCATCCTCGACGCAGCGATGTGGGCGCGTCCGCAAACTACGCGCTTGGGGTTTAGGGGGGGTTGAGGAAATCTTGCACCATCCCATCTACCTCCTACCTCTAGAAAAACAGTGTCAAGATTCAGTTACCTCCATGCTCAGTTTGGCCCACGTTTCTCCGGGACAAGACGTTCCAAGAGGACCCCCCCAAAACAATGAGAATCGATAAGACAAATCTGGTGCCCTCAAACCTCAAAGAATGAGGACCCTATACCTCTGGTATGAGCATGGAGGGACTCTAATTTTTGGCAATTGGGTCACCAAAATCCCCTTACTGCCGAAACAGGGAGCATGCGTTTTACATTAGCCGAGGGTTTCTTGACGTGGCTCAGGGCAGAGAATAAGTTTTTGGGGTATGTTATACAACAGCTGTAAAAGGATGGCGAGGGAATGATATGCAAGTTTGGGGCTAGGGTTTGGATTTGGGGTGGCTTCTACCCTAAACCCTAAACCCTAAACCCGAAGGAACTTTGAAAGGCACCAGGAGTGGCACAGCAGTGGTCGCTAAAGCAGAACAAGCAACCAAGGGAGATGTCAAACACACGGTCCACCTAAACTGGATTTTCGAGAAACTAGGACTTCCCTTCTTGGCGGCCCACAGAATGAGTATCATGAATCTTTCCTGGGTGGGGGGGTGGTATACAAGGGGGGGGGGAATATGTGGCTTAGGGCGCTCCGTTCTTGGAGGTACCCGGAGAAAGCGCGGAAGACCGCGATTTCGGTCCTGCTGCACGCGAGCGCTCCTCTTGACGCCACCTGGCATGACTTGCTGGCGGTTTGTACCGAATGCGGGACTGGATTCCTCTTGCCATCCGTGCATTTGCGGTATGCTAAACTTTTGCCGGGATATTAGACTTCGTAATATATGATACATAGTGTATGATATATAATACGAAATTTATATAATATGTAATATTAGGCTAAATTGTCTATATAAATATAAGCCAAGAAGTAGTGTACAAGTAATGTTGATAATCCTGGAGGCTTCTTGCTTAGGAGGACAGACCCTTCGCACGAAGCACAGATCCCTCCCTCCTCTAGATGCTGGGGTGCTGTTCAGGAACTTAGATTAAGTTACAATAATGGTTTAGGGTTTAGGGCTTAGGGTTTAGGGATGGGTATAACAGTATAACACTAAACCCTAACACCTAAACCCTACACCCTTAATAACGGGGTTTCCCCAATGATGGGCATGGCGAAAGCCAGAAAAGAGATCTTCAGAAGACTGGGTTGCTGCTAAGGAACTTAAATTGAGTTAATATATGAGCTATAGTCTAAAAACTCCTAGTATCCCCCTTAATAACCACTATACTAGTCCCCTATATAGCCCCTTATATAACCCCCTTAAAGGAGTTTAGACTATAGCTCATATTGGGGAAACCATTTTTACTACGATACATAACCATTATGGTAGCTTCCTTTACGGTCCTTAACAGCATACCCGAAGATTCTTGCAACGAGCACCATCACAGTCCGCGCAGAAATTCACATAGTCATGGATGTTTGCCAAAATCAGGGGTACCTTACTGGGGTCCCCATACTAAGGACTGTAATATTTTGGGGTCTATATGGAGTTCCCCTATTTTAGGGAAACTACCTCATGGTGATAATACAAGCCCAAACCGGTAACAGTGTTCGCCACATCGGTGGAAGCAGCTCTCAGCGTTCCAAGTCCAACATTAAGGGATTACAATAGTACCCCCCCCTCCCCCCGCCCCCCCCAAAAAAAAGTACCCTCCCCCCTCAGGGTTTAAGGAGCTGATAAGGACTATATAACGCTTAATAAGGCCTAATAAGGTTAAAAATCTGGGGGGGCACGTACTACTGTAATCCCCTTAAACATGCCAGTAAGGACTATCGTCCTTGCCGCCGGTGGCTGGTTTTTCGGGCGTCCCTTTTTTGTCACCTGCCGGAGCGAAGCTTGATTGCAGATAGCCCGCGTACAAAAAAAATATTCCAGTCTCAATTCCTAAGCGAAACCCTTATGAATCCCAGGAAGGCTGCGGTGAGGAAAAGGAGGTTGACAAAAGCTACTGACGAAGAAAACCTTCGGGAGTCCATGTAGAGGCTTCGCAGAACCTTCTATAATCCCTCTAGCGTGGGGGGGTTCAGCCCTTGAACCCTTCTGGGCTCCTCTGTTAGATTGCCCTCCTCAGTAAGAGGGGTACCCGTTTTCCTAGTGTTCAGCTTTAATCAGGAGACCCCCAAATAAAAAGGGAAAAGAGTACTACCGGGGTACCTAGTCTGACACCCAGAACTGTTTCCCCTGCCTTGGTTGTTGGCCTTTGGATCCGCGTTCAGGATGTCACTCGTGAGATTGATCTCAGTGGGCTCCCTGTGCTTCTCCTTGCTGGTTGATGCATGGCCAGAGGAGCAGCAGCAGCAGCAGCAATTCTTCGTACTAGCAACAGGAGGAGCTGCCGCAGCGATAACCAACTAGTCTGAAGGCCAAATGTTCTTTCCGGTCGTTTCCTGAAGCCGAACTCTAAAACCTGAACCCCAAAGCCTACCAAGAGGCAGCCAGCGCAAGTTGCCACATCAAAGATTTCAGAGGCTTTACCAGTACAGGCCGTATCGGCAACAAGATGATTATGATGAAAAAACCTAGCATTGACACATCTTAGGTATTGTTTTTGTTATTGCCCATAGTATGATTGCTCTTTAAATTGGCAATTCGCGCGGGGCTTTGGGTTTAGGGGTTGGGGTCTGGAGCCTTGGGTTCATGAGTTGCTGGTTTAGGGTCCATCTTCCGGGGGTTTGTGGCTTCAGCTTAGATCTCTCTTTTTTCCCTTCACTGTCTACCCCACTCCGTCTCCTCCCTGAAGTGGCAATTTGTCTCTTAGGTCACAGAGCCCTGGCGGCTGGGAAGGGATCTGCCATAGTGCAGCGTTGCAAGAACAGGACCCTGAGCGCAACTTGCTGCCAACAGATGGCAGGCAAGTAAGACAACAAAAGCACGGCAACTGGACCGAATTTGTCTGTGTGAGTGTGTGAGACGTGGTGCTTTGTTTCAGCCAGCAGCAGCTCAAAAACGTCATAGGGCTCCACTAACGGCAAGGCGCTCAAAGGAAGGTCTTGTGATAGCGCGTATCGTGCAACAGATTCCAAATACTTACGGGAGGGAGGAGGGGGTAGGAATCAGGGAATATAATCCCTAGATAATCTCCATATGATATATGCAGCTTTTCCTGACTAACGCTACGCCCTAAAACCTTCTACGTACTTATCATGTAACATATTCCCTTATTCCTTACACCCGACGGTAATTAAGAATATCTAGCACCAGCCGAGGATCCGCGTCAGGCTTCTTAGCAGCCATGATCCAAGGATGGCTCATGGCAACCTGTTCCGACATGTAACATCCAAAAAAAACTGTGCTTTCCCAAAATTGATGGCCATCTTTTTGGGGTCCTTATCATACTGATTTCGTATTCACGGGTCTATTTTGGGCCCCCCCACATTTTTGGGGAAACTACCTTTTGAAACTACCTTTTTGCGGTTTCAACAGCAAGGTAACAGCTGACAGTGAGACCCTAAACCCTAGCCCTATTAGGGTTTAGGGTTTAGGGTAAACCCTAAACCTTAAAAACCCTAAACCCTAAACCTTGAGTCGTGCCTTTGCCGTTGTTCTCTTTCGAGGCTTCCTGTTTAGGCACCCCTTGAGGAAGGCAATGGTCTTTGAATCGATAGGCACCTGGCGCAAGTGCTTTTTCTGCCCTGCCTTAACCCCAACAGTATGTAAAATAATGGCCTTTAGGGCTGCTATTATGGGTTTAGAGCTATTATTTTACATATTTGGGGGGGTTTAGGTAGGGTTTAGGGTTTTGGGTTTAGGCCCTCCGCCCTAGATACTGGGGCTATATAGGGGTTGTATGGGGTTATATTGGGGTTATATAGGGGTTAGATAGGGGCTATATTGCAACCCTGAACCCTAAACCGATGGGACTTTCTGCGTGTCTTGGCCAGAAACTCGGCCACTGCAGCCATGACACGTCACTGTCCCATTCAATGGTTCCATGAAGGACTGTGAGTAAAATCTCTCGGACGTTGTTGCCATCAAAGGGATAGCGCCCGTAGAGGGCGAAGTACACCAAGACACCGAAAGCCCACCTTAGCACCAAAGACGGCACTCGAGAAATGCTGACAACCGCTTCGTGCAAGATTTACGTGTCCGGTATGATTGCTATGATTATTGCGGTACCAGCAGTTAACCAGGCGCTTAATTTGCAAACAACATCAGACAAGAAGGGCAGAGTGGACCAAAATGCAATAAAGCATGGAACACAAAAAATGCAAACGACGCACTCATGAAATTGTGCTCATCATTGAAACAATGCTTGCCAAGAAGGATGTCGTGAATGGCCAAAATCTAAATCCCAAACCCTGAACCCTAAATAGTGGCTTCCATTTTCTTTTCCATTAATTATCCCTGTGTATAGTAGTTTTCATGTTCTTTTTCCATTATTCTTAAAAACAATAAACCCCAAACCTTAAACCCAAGACCCTAAATCCCAAAAGTAGCAAAGCCCAAGCCACATATCTACGCGGTAGTCGTAGCGCTGCCCGACAAGCTCCGGCGCCATGTATTGCGGCGAGCCAGAGATCTTGTCGAACATCTCTCCGCGCTGAAACCTGTTCAGGGTTTAGGGCTTACGTATTAGGATGGTTTGCTAGCTTTCTCTGGGAAGGAGCTTACATGAAAGTTTCATTAAAAAAAAAAAGGACACATGGTAAATAATGCATTCTCTATGTATGGTAACGTAACTTAATTTATGTTCCTAACGCTAAACCTTAAACCCGAGTTTAGGGCTGAGGGTTCTGTCAGGGCTAGGCTCAGATGACATTGCAAGCAAAGCAATTCAGCCATATAGGGGTTTCCATAAATTCAGGTGTTTAGGGTTCAGGGTCCATAAGTTAGGGGTCCCGTTTCGGGGTACCTACAGCAAGGATAATAGTATCTTGGGGTTCATTTTAAGCCCCATACTTGTTGAAACCCACAAACTGTTCTTACGACCATCGATCTTACGCCACCGAAGACTCAAATCTGTAAAGCAGGTCCTAGGAGCAGCAGGCAAAGCAGGCGTGGACAAATTGTTGTCGTGGTTTAGGGTTTAGGGTTTAAGGTTTAGGGTTTAGGGTTTAGGGTTTAGGGTTTAGGGTTTAAGGTTTAGGGTTTAGGGTAGCTTTGGGGATTTACTTTTGGGCCATAAATACTAACCAGAACCGGATTAGGCCCGCATTGCATGGTTCCACAGGGGAACCCCCGACCCCAAGCCTGAATCAGAAAGAACAAACCCTGACTGGATTGCTGTTAAGGAGCTTAAATTAAGTTACCATAATATGATTTCCCCAGTATAGTAGCCTAAATGAAGTGCCTTAAACCCTATATTCCCCCAATTTCCATTCAATTTTCCATGTTCTTTTCCATGTTCTTTTCCATTTTCTTTTCCATGCGACTCTCCATTATAGGGGAATAGTATAATACCCTGAACCCTCAACCCTAAACCCTTAAATTAAGTTCCTTAACAGCAACCCAGCTAAACCCTAAACCCTAGACCCTGCCAGCCTCGCAGCGATCCCGAAGTCGATGATTTTCACGACTGCCGTGGTTGACCACTCGGTTAGTAACACATTTTCTGCTTTGATATCCCGATGCATGACCCCCTTGCTGTGCATGTAGTCGATGCCACCTTAAGCTTGAATAGGGTTTGAGGTTTAGGGTTTGTGGTTTAGGGGGGCTACATAACCTCCCTTTAAGGAAGGAATTTAGACCCTAGCCCATCTCTTGTTTCGGAGATTGCTTGCTTCTTTTCAGCCAGCTTCAATAAGCCTGTGTTCCCCTAATCCCGCAACGGGATAGAAGCCTAATTGATTCCTGCAAAATGTTAAACTTTCGGGGATCCTAGTGTCCTCGTTGAGCAAAAACTACCCTAAAGTGCTTGGGCTTAGGGCTTAAGTACCCTAAACCCCAAATCCCTTTGCAGCCAAAGGGTCCCAGCAATTGCTTTGCAATGACTGCGGTGTCACTCTCAGAAAGGCGATCCATCTGCCCACACTTAGGGTGTAGGGTCCAGGTACGTGGACAGGTGACTGGTGTACAGCTACCGCAGAGGACATGCACAAACTCGCACACAGCGCTTGATGTCTCTCAGGAATCTCTTTTATGCAAATATATGCGGATGTCCATTGGGGCCTCCAAAACAGCACACATTATAGTCCTTGTTGTAGGAAGCCCCTAAGCAGACCTCAAGTTTTCGAAACCCTTATCATACAAACATGTATGGCAGTTTCCCAAACCAGGGGGACCCCAATACAGATCCAAAAAATCTATTCCTTGCTAGAGGGACCCCCAAAATACCCATAATATCCCATAATCTTGGGAAACCCCCGTATGTATGCAGACGCATCGAGCAGGTGATCTCGCCTCGTTGATCATCTCAAACAATTCACCGCCACGGCATAGATCCATGACTACGTAGAGATAATGGGATGTTTCCTTGCAACAACTGGGTTGCTGATAACGGACTTAATTCAATTTATCATAGTAAGGATATACAGTGTGCAATAGGGTGTCCTTCTTACAGTAACTTCATTTAAGTTCCTTAACAGCAAGCCAGACAACGATTATCAGCTGAAAGCACAGGCATGTACGAGCTGGACTGCTGCAAGGACAAATGTTAGCCGGGCATCATAGACATCCCAGACCCGCACGATGTTCCTCAGGACATGTGATTTTCACTGCCCCTTCTGCAGCACAAGCAAGGAAAGCTAACATGCCGTCTCAAATTGGGGGTCCCGGTATGTGAGTTCAGGGTTGAGGATTGCGGTCTAACAGGGTACCACTCCATAACATATTCAATCCCGTCCAAGGGAGATCCCCCAATGTTTGAGACACTTGCCAAGTGGTGAAGCTGAGCCACGTATGCTTCAAGGATCTTAGAAGCTCGACCTCTTTCCTGAGTCACAGGTCAAAGTCAAAGATGGGAATATAACAGCGACTGGTGATGGCTATTTGCTTGTCAGCCGTAGCCCACAACAGTCAGTTTCTTGCTCACAACAAGCTGCACAGGCGTAAACATAATACAGGTCACTCTGGAAACTCCAATTTTTGCTCCACAGCAGTCCACCCTAAACCCTAAATCTCTAAACCCTAAACCCCAAACCCTAACCCTTAACCCTACAGTGATCCAGGCTCCGGAACATTGCGAGCGAGTCCAACTTTTTCTGGCCTTTCTCTCCTTTCTCATCCACCTGCCCGCACCATCAGAGCTTTCATGTGCCCAAAGGTTTAGGGTTTAGGGGTTTACGGTTTGGAGTTTAAAGGGTTCAGGGTTTGAAGGGTTTAGGGTTTAGGGTTCGGGTTTCGGGCTTAGGGTCATCCTTACACTTCGGATGCCTGCCAGGCTCTGAAGCCTCCTTGTCTTGAGACATTCGCCCAAACAGACTTGAACCCTCAATCCTCAACCTGGTGCGTTTCAGTCTGGAAGTCAGGATTTAGGGTGTGAAAAAAGGGGTTTAGGGTTTAGGGTTTAGGGTGCCAGCTGTTTCAGGCATAGTGGCATATCTATGTTCCCTCAGCACTTGGCTGGATGGTCTCATCACGTGCCTTGTTGCTACGCCACGCTGCATTCCCGCATAAATGTCCATGCAATTACAGATGAGTAGTGTTTTTTTGGTGGTTGAACCTTTTAAGATAACATGCCTTATATAAAATGCTATACCCCCAAAAAAAGGATAGAATCTTACTATATAGTGGGTACCATAGTATCCCCAAATAAGATACTACAGCTGAAATAGAATATAACCCCTATATAATCCCAGCTTCCATTTCATTTTCCATTTTCTTTTCCATTTGATTCTCCATTATTGGGGTACCGTAGTATCCCCACAGATGGCGTTCCTGGCTACAATTCTTGATGGTGCCTCTGGGATGTCTACTCACGAAATCCCCGCACAAGCCCTAACCAAGTCCAACAGTATTCTGCAGAACCGCTATCAAATCCCACTACACCCTAAACCCTGAACCCTAAACCCTAAAGCCTAGCCACCCGCACCATGCATCCTGAACCCAACAATCCAAGCCGCTAAACGCTGAACTCTGAGCCCTGATCTCCTGAAACCAGTTTTAAAATATGTTGGGATAAGGGTTTAGGGTTTA